CTACAAAGATAGATATTAAAATCAAAGGAAGATGAAATCCAAACTGTCAAAATCACCATTCCATCTAATTAATTCCTCATTAAACTATGGTCCAAAATGAGAACAGAAAATTAGCCCCAGTAAGTCCAGACAGTTGAAAAGTAAATGCAATGTTGTACTTTGATCCATTATCACAACTCATCATCTTGGAAAAGTGGATAAAAAAGACAAAAAAGTAAATTTTAAAACTCAAATTTCTTTTATTGGCATCTCCTGCGAAGGGCTGGTGACCAAACTGGTGAAAACCATGCGACAGAGAAAGAAATGCGTTAAGGCAGATACACTGGACATGGAGCCAACCTGCAGATTCTGGTTACCGCCGCTTCCCTTGTCCATCAGAAGACAGGAAACGTTACACTTGTGATCCCTCGGGCTCTAATTAACTATTTACAGGGTAACTGCTTAGGAGAAGCATTGTAGAGGATTTACCTTTTGTTTTTTTTTTTTTACCTCTCCAAGAAACAAGGAGGGGGTGATGGTGCAGAGACCTGTATTTCTTGTGTTAAAAGCAACTTATCTGTAAAGGTGAATTACAGATACGCACCCTGAGTGTAGCTATTACATTTCATTCGGCAAAATAGAAGTAAAACGATAAAATAGAATCAAAGACATGTTTTACGTGCTGCACATACAGCAGGCTCAGCGTCGTCACCGAAACGTGAAACATGTCAGCAGCCTTCCTAGCCTTGCTGGCCCCAGCCTGGCCCGCCTGTGATTCCCCGGGCCCCCCACAGACGTCGAGGCCGGACCGGGCGGCGGCGGCGCAGGAGGGGACTCCCCGCGCGGGGACTTCAGGGCTGGCCCGGTTCCCAGAGGGGAAGCAAAGGGGGCGCCTCCCCCCGTGCCCGGCGTCCCAGCCGAGGGGCTCGGTGCGCGCTGCGGCTCTCGGAAGCGCTGGGGCGAGCCCGGGAGGAAGGAAAGGAATCTGGCGCAAGCCGGGGCGCTGGGGGCGGAGGAACTGGGAGCGGAGACGGGGGCAGAGAGCAGAGGGGGCCGGGGAGAGAGGGGGACAACCCGCTCTGCACGCGGCTTGGCGCAGCCAGGGGGAGCCTCCTGGGTTTCCGACACTCTCGTCCGCGTGGGCAAAAACTGCTGCCCCCACCCTGCTTACGCAATTTTTGCAGTGGAGAGGGGGGGACAGTGGTGGGGGGTTAGTAAGGAGAGGCGGAAAGAAACAGTCATTTCGTCACTTGGGCTTGGTTGGTTTTCAGGCATAAAAAGCAAGGTTCTCCCCGTCAGCGCCCAGTTGTCAAACGACTTGCAGACAGCGTCGGCAGCACGCCCAGGAACTCCGCCGCGGCGCCTCCTCCAGCCGCGCAGCCAGACGCCCGGACCCCGCGCCCGCGCCGCCCGCGCCGCCCGCGCCCTGCCCGCCGCGATGCTCGCCCGCGCCCTGCTGCTCGGCGCGGTCCTGGCGCTCGGCCACGCAGGTGGGTACCTGGCGCCGCGGCCGCGGCAGTTTCCGCCCCGACCTCCCGGGCCCAGCCCGGGGCTCTGACTCCTCTCCGCGGACGCTGCGTGACTCGGAACGGAGCTTGACCGCGGGGTCCAGAAGAACCGGGTGGATGCTCCAGCTTTGTCGCCAGCTCCGATCATCTCGAACCAGTGACTGAACTGGTCTGAGACTCACTCTCATCTGCTTGACAGCGATAGTGATACTAATTCGCAGGTTGTCATTGTGACAGGAAAGCTCTGATCAATCTGTGTGAACAGTTTGTGTGTGGTGTCTACTGTTAATGAGTGAAAGAAATTTTTTTAAAATACTGTCTAGTCAGTGCTTTCCTGCCCCCGGGAAAGCCGAGATTATTTTTAAGATAAGCAAAATATTGTAAAAGTAAGCTGCTTTTACCTTGAAAATTTTCCTAAATTTTGATTAATGTACTAGATCCACCCATTTTAATTTCGAAAGTGCTACTTTTTTTGCGCTTCTTAAAAATGCTAATTTGAACATCTAAAAAGTTGCTAAGAAAATGGTTACTAGCATGATTTCCCAAGTTGGATATTCTTTTACCTTTATTTAGAATAAGAATTTCTACATTGTAACTGTAAGGCAGGTAAAAAAAAAAATCGTATTTCTATGACTACCTGTATTATTTCTTTAATATGTTATTGTAAAGTTGACTCATAGTAAAACAATTAAATGTTTAAGTCAAGATTAAGACATTGAAGAATGATTTATTTGCTGTCCTTACTTTCATTGTAGCAAATCCTTGCTGTTCCAACCCATGTCAGAACAGAGGTGTATGTATGAGCACAGGATTCGACCAGTATAAGTGTGATTGTACCCGGACAGGATTTTATGGTGAAAACTGTTCAACACGTAAGTTTGCTTCATTTGGAATGGGGCTGAATATAATTATCATTTTCCATATTTGTGTCTTATAATGGGCCCCATTAATTTCTTTCTCCTTTTTTTTCCTCTTATTGCAGCTGAATTTCTGACAAGAATAAAATTATTCCTGAAGCCCACTCCAAACACTGTGCACTACATACTTACCCACTTCAAGGGAGTCTGGAATATTGTCAATAACATTCCCTTCCTTCGAAACGCAATTATGAAATATGTGTTAACATGTAAGTACAAGTTTCTTTCTAAGGTTTTTAGCTTCCGGAAAGAAAATGTGCTTTATAATACTGTAGATTATTAAACCTAATCCAAAAACATATTTGACAAACTTGTCAAAATGGCTTTAAATATACCTTTTTAGTTTGCTTCTATCTTAATGGCCAAAAATGCTGACATTTAAATCCCATCCAGTTTGTACAGGTCTGTCTCCCAGTTAGAATTCTGCTTATAACTCTGCATACTTCTTCTGACTTTAACTGTTCTGGCCAGTTTACAGAGGAAATGTGCTCCATTTGTTTATTGAATGCCATGGGCCACAGAATTGTTCTGAACATGTAGCACTCATTAAAATTAATGGTTAATTTGGATTTGGATCAACAAGAAAATAGCTTTCTATTGTTCTAAAGTGAGTGCCATGCCTGGCCATTCCTGCTATAGACCTCTTGAGTAGTGAGTGAGTAGTTACCTGAAAAATCAAGATTGCTAGATCATAATGTCCTGTGTAAAATATATATATTTATTAAAGATGCATTTTAAGTGGCAGTCAGACTTTAAAGTGTAGTTGTTTCAAAATAGAGTATCTTTGATTATTGGAATTAAATTCAATCCTGTGCTGCTTTCCACATTTTTATAATAAAATGATCGTTGATTTGATTTGCATGTGGGAATAAATAAGAAAATGTTTTTTCTTGAAAATTTCAGCCAGATCCCATTTGATTGATAGTCCACCGACTTACAATACACACTACGGCTACAAAAGCTGGGAAGCATTCTCTAACCTCTCCTATTATACCAGAGCCCTTCCTCCTGTGGCTGATGACTGCCCAACTCCCATGGGTGTGAAAGGTGAGTGAGAAGAAGCCCTTAGAGACGTATTAATTGCAAGAGGGGCTGGATTGCTACCTAAAATATTCGACCTTAGACTATTATTCATTTGTTAACAAAAGTATGGCTTTTTCCTTTATTATGGATATTTATGGGTATTTTCGAAAGTGTGAATCTATGTAAACGATTCCAAAAAAGTAAATAAGCATCTTGGTATAATGTCTCAATATTTTCAAATTCTTTGATTAAAACTGAATTAGCATTGTTAAAATAGATAAAATTCAATAAATTGTCAGGCACGGGTGGTTCATGCCTGTAATCCCAGTGAGGGAGGCCAGGAATTCAAGACCAGCCTGGAAAACATAGTGAGACCTCGTCTCTACAAAAAAGAAAAAGAAAAAAATTAGCCAGACGTGGTGGTGCTTGCTTGTAGTCCCAGCTACTGGAAAGGCTGGGGTGAGAGGATCACTTGAGACCAGCAGTTCCAGGCTGCAATGAGCTATGATTGCGCCACTACACTCCAGCCTGGGGTCACAGAGCAAGACCTGTCTCTTAAAAAAAAAAAAGAAAAAACGTTGTTTTCCCATATCTTAGAATTGTCATTTATATTATAATCCTGCTCACAATTGTATTTATTCTATAAGTAAAGAATTCTTGGAAAATTGACAACCACTGTCTGCTTTCTTGAATATATAGATGGATTCTTATCTTAGCTTTCTCATTTTTCAGGGAAGAAGGAGCTTCCTGATTCAAAAGAGGTTGTGGAAAAATTTCTTCTAAGGAGAAAGTTCATCCCTGATCCCCAGGGCACAAATATGATGTTTGCATTCTTTGCCCAGCACTTTACCCATCAGTTTTTCAAGACAGATCATAAGCGAGGACCAGCTTTCACCAAAGGACTGGGCCATGGGGTAAGATAGAGTTAAATCAGAATTATAGCAAATCAGAAGAAGTACCAACATTAAAGGAGATATATATAGAGATAGATAGATCCAAATCATTCATCCCCTCTTTTTAATTTTTATTTTTTATTGCCCGCTTCGGTTTTCCTTCATATATCCTCTTTTTTTAAAAAAAAAAATCTTATCTACAAAAACCTTAATGGAATTTTCCATTTTAATTCACTGTTGAGTGAAAATATACACACACAGATATGCACATATGTACATTCACACATATACATATATAGATATTATTATTTGTAATTTGTCTCATATTTTTAATTTAAAATAGTAGCACTACAAATAAAACATGTTTGTACTCTGATGATGCTGCTTTCTATATTATAAGGTGAGGTTTTCACAGCAGTATTATCTTTTGGAGTTCAATAACATAGCTTTAATATATTGATAAGAATTTTTTATAAATAATGCCTTTTCTTACACTTTTAAAAGAATTACTGTATATTATAGTGAAGTGTTTGATGTACGTATAAGCTCAATATGGCATACTAATTCTTTAAACACAAAGGATATATATGTAGGTTTGTAGCCTTGGTGGATAAACAAGTTAGTATTTGGGGGCTATGAAAAAGTATATTTTATTGGAAAATTTTAAAGAAAGCTAAATTGTCAAATTATATAATAGACTCTTTATATAAGAACAACTTCAACAGCAACAAATCAAAATTTTTCCATAATTTTCTAGGTGGACTTAAATCATGTTTATGGTGAAACTCTGGATAGACAACATAAACTGCGCCTTTTCAAGGATGGAAAAATAAAATATCAGGTATATTCCCTTTGAAGATTAAGAATTAGTTATGACTCATTACTTACACCTATGTTTTAAAATCCCTAATGATAAAAGTTTGTTTCTTAACTTTGAATTAATGTTTATTTGTTTCTGTTACTTTTTAGATCATTGATGGAGAAGTGTACCCTCCCACAGTGAAAGATACTCAGGTGGAGATGATCTACCCCCCTCACGTCCCTGAACACCTGCGGTTTGCTGTGGGGCAGGAGGTCTTTGGTCTGGTGCCTGGCCTGATGATGTACGCCACAATCTGGCTGCGGGAACATAACCGAGTGTGCGATGTGCTTAAACAGGAGCACCCAGAATGGGGTGACGAGCAGTTGTTCCAGACGAGCAGGCTGATACTGATAGGTAAGCAAGAAGAGAAAATTTAAATAAAACCCTCTTCCCCAGAAAAAATTAATTCATTACCTTCTCAATGTTTTCAGTAACTGACAGAATGTAGTAAATGACAAATCACACATCCTGTATTAATTTAGTCTGTGAACATGGCTGGTAATATAAGGACCTTTTGTTTTGATATTAACAAGGAAAAAAAAACAGAAGTGAGGAAATAGCAAATTTAACAAAATTACATTTCAATTGTTTGAAAGTTTGTGATCAGAAAGAATTAATTTTTGAATTCTTTGGTGCAAACAGGAGAGACTATTAAGATTGTGATTGAAGACTATGTACAGCACTTGAGTGGCTATCACTTCAAACTGAAGTTTGACCCAGAGCTGCTTTTCAACCAACAATTCCAGTACCAGAACCGTATCGCTGCTGAGTTTAACACGCTCTATCACTGGCACCCCCTTCTGCCGGACGCCTTTCAAATTGATGATCAGGAATACAACTATCAGCAGTTTCTCTATAACAACTCTATACTACTGGAACACGGACTTACCCAGTTCGTTGAATCATTCACCAAACAAATTGCTGGGAGGGTAAGCATTGTGCCTGAAAAACAAAACAAAAGACTAGTCAGTAACTTTAAAATTTCTACCACAGAAATCATTTTTCTTAAACTTACTACAAGAGTAAAAATATTGCTAGTAAAATTCTTTCATTGAAATACGAAGCCTAACTTTTTTTTTTGGAAATATATAAACTTTTAGTCTACAGTTTTTAAATGAATAGCAAATTGCACTGATACCTTAAAAAGAGATATTTTCAAAAACTATAATTATAGATGTAGAAATAACTATTTCACACTTGAATACTAGTTTAATCTTTATAATTTTAAAAGGCAAGTAAGTTCTAGACTGGTGTCTTGTTGAATTATAAGCACAGCTGCTGTTGAAATGTATGTAAGCATCCTTCCAGGAAATAAAAGTAGTCTGAGCTGGAAGCATCAGTTTTACCTAATTTGTACCTAAGGAATGCTTTTAAAATAGAAATAGTAAATACGCCTACAAATCCATTTTACAATTAAATTTATTTTCCACAGGTCGCTGGTGGTAGGAATGTTCCACCTGCAGTACAAAAAGTAGCAAAGGCCTCAATCGACCAGAGCAGACAGATGAAATACCAGTCTTTTAATGAGTATCGCAAACGCTTTTTGCTGAAGCCCTATGCATCATTTGAAGAACTTACAGGTGGGAAATAGTTTCTAAACTTGTTAAAAGAATCAAGGGTCAAATGGAAACAACAGAGAAGTTGAAGCAAATTGAGCAAAGGGGTACAACTATTTTTTATTTGGTAAAGTTTGACATTATATCTCTCTTCACTTTCACAGGTGAGAAGGAGATGGCCGCGGAGTTGGAAGCACTCTATGGTGACATTGACGCCATGGAGCTATATCCTGGCCTGCTGGTAGAGAAGCCTCGTCCAGATGCCATCTTTGGTGAAACCATGGTAGAAGTTGGAGCACCATTCTCCTTGAAAGGACTTATGGGTAATACTATATGTTCTCCTGACTACTGGAAGCCAAGCACTTTTGGTGGAGAAGTAGGTTTTAAAATCATCAACACTGCCTCAATTCAGTCTCTCATCTGCAATAATGTGAAGGGCTGTCCCTTTGCTTCGTTCAACGTTCCAGATCCACAGCTCACCAAAACCGTCACCATTAATGCAAGCGCTTCCCGCTCCGGACTAGATGATATCAAACCCACAGTACTACTAAAAGAACGTTCAACTGAACTGTAGAAGTCTACTGATCCTATTTATTTATTTATATGAACCATGTCTTTTAACTTAATTATTTAATAATATTTATATTAAACTCCCTATGTTACTTAACATCTTCTGTAACAGAAGTCAGTACTCCTGTTACGGAGAAAGGGGTCATACTTGTGAAGATTTTTGTGTCACTACTTTAAAGATTTATTTTTTTCAAGTTAAATAGGAAAACAGTTTTCATTCCTTCTTGGAAACTAGGAGGAAATGAATTTTGACATCTTTTACTTGAATTTCAATTTATATTATGTTATAATAAGAACAAAAGCAAAGATGTTTGAACACTTAAATGCTGTTACAAGGATGATAAAATGCTGAAAGTTTCTACACTGTCAATATTTCCAGTGTGTCTTCCATGATGTATTAGAAGCAACTAATGTTTGGAATTTTAAAGTACTTCTAGACATTTATTTGTGATCAAACAAAAAAAGGTACAAGTGTATTTTTAAATGAATGTTTAAATTAATTACCAATAATTTCATGTCTATTTTTTAAAGTAGTATTGAAAAAATAATTTGAAATTTCTAAAATTCATAGATAGAATCACTTTTAAAAAGCTGTTCTGTTATTAAACTTGTCCCTATATTAATAAAAGAAACTCTCTTGGATTTAAATCTCTAAAATCAGTAGAAATTATCCTACGATTTCTTGTTAAAATATTGCATAAGAGAGTTTACTTTTTCACCAGGAGTGAATATCTACTTAATATGACTATTACAGCTTGTTTTTAAAACAAAATGGCAAATGTATTAAGGTGATAGAACCACTGCAGTCATATCTTAAATTAAGAATATTTTATGTCAAGAGATTCCAGAATTTGTTTATGGCTGGTAATGAATAAAATCTATAGCAGCAAAAGATTCTACATTTAAAATAACCAATAACAAAGAAAAAAACCAAATTATAATTCAAATCTAGGTTTAAACTCTTGAAGGAGATTTTATTCTATCCTCATACACTGTGGGCCTGGTACTTCCTCAACAGATGTTGCTATGAGGTTAATGAATTACTGAGCTGTGCTTGGATAACAGTCTATTTTCTTAGATTTCCCATTGCACAGTATGATTTAGCAGTTCCTATTACAGTGCAAAAAGTAGCAATGGCCTCATAAAATACCTCTTCAAAATGCTTAAATTCATTTCACACATTAATTTTATCTGAATATTGTTGAGCCAATTCAGTATATGCATTTGAATCAACATGCTGCTCCTTTTATTTTCTTTTAGCTGTTTTGCTAAGAGAAATTCTCCTCTGATAACTTTATTTCTTCTATTTTGTTTTACTGGTTTTAAGATCAGAGTTTGTCTTTCTTTGGACTCTGCCTATAGTTTCTTGCCTGAACTTCTGCAAGTTTTCAGGGAAACCTCAGCTCAGGACTACTATTTAGTTCCCTTTAAAAAGAATAAAAAAAAAAGACTTTTTTAAAAAAATTCACTTATTTTAAGTGAAAGACAGAGAATTTTATTTATAATTAATTTTAACTATCTGTAGCCAAGTAGCCTACAAAGAGGCTAATACCTCAGAAAGAACTGCAGGGGGGTCATGACAGGAAGAAATTTATATTCCTGTTCTGATGAATGCCCTTTCTTATTTAAAAGCAAAGCCAAAGAATTTCTGAGTAGTTCTCAATAGTAATAATAATGATGATGATAATAATACTTCTTTTTCACATCTCAATGTCAGCTGACATTTAATGGTACTGTATATTACTTAATTTATTGAAGATTATTATTTACATTTTATTAGGACATTATTGTCATAAACTATGTTTAAGTCTGCAATTGTTGATTTTTTTTCATTATGTCAGAATCAATGTATCTTCTTTGGGTTTACCTCTCTAAATTACGATGTAAACAATCAAAAGAAATGATCATATTAATATTTGTAAATAAATTTTTAGAAACCCAACTCTGGTATATTGAGATATTTAAGGTTAGAATTTTTGTATTTAAGATTTACCTATATGCCAGCCCACAGAAAATACTGTCTCATTAGCCTGAACTTGCCATAAGACTGACCTTTCATACCATTTTGAAGGACCTGTGGATGCTTCATTAATTTATTCAGCCATAATTTATTGAGAAAATATTCTGTACAAAGCACTGTGGGTTTTAATGTTTCTAAATCAAACACTAATTACAAATAACATTAGTGTTTGTGTAAATAACTGAAAAAATGTGTCTTTTAGGAAGAGGAAGAAAATGAAATAAATTTCATTAAGGAGAAATAACTCGGGAGAATTTTTCTTTAAGATTTTATGTTTAAAAAGTTTAAGGTTAAGAAAGAAATAGTCAATATTAGAAGGGTTTATACAAAGAACTATTAATGTCACTGATTTTTTTTTTTTGGAAAAAGAATACTTGATTTGTTATTAACATCAACCTGCTGACTGAACCTGGGCATTTGGATTGTATATGTGAGTGTTTCAGTGCCTCAGACAAATGTGTACTTAAATTAACTTGTGTAAAATGTAAATCTTGAAACAAATGTCTGTTTATTTTTATACTATTTAAGAATGGACAAATCTTTTCTGAAAATAAATTTTGACTGTTTCTATACATCTTTGTCATATGACATATGATTTCTCTGAAGCATTTTCCTTAAAGTAAACCATTATCTTGTGTCCTTCCACCTACTCAAAACTAGGCTGCCGCTTAATGAAAATGGTTTGCCCTCAGTCACATAGAGGCTTCCGAGAGTCACTGTTTATAATCACGTGTTCACTGCAACCCTGTGTTGGAAAATGTGTGCTTTGTGCTATAGGAGATAGCAACAAGCTTGCTTTCATTGCCTAATCTAGAAAAACGAGAAGAAAAGTACACAAAAGGCAAAGAATAAGACAAGTGGTACTAAGGCAGTACAAAATAAAAAACAAAGTTCAAAGAGGAGGAAATTAGTATATTAAGTTGGGCAAATCATTGATAACTGGCTCATGGACTTCTGTTGTTCCCCTAGCCTTGCCATCGTCCCGGGAATGTCAATATCCCCATGGACCACATCTTTAACATCTTGCCTGACCTCTCTTCTTCGGCCGTCTCCATTCCAGTGATGCCTTCTTCCAACATATTTCCCCTGATCATACATACCTTGATCTCATCATCATTAATTACTGTACCACTTCCAAAATCTCAATTTCAAGCATCTTCTAGCTCACCTATTTTAGTGCTCACACTCTAACATCTAACTCTCAGTTTCACTGAGCCAACTGATTCATCAACCTCATTGTTTCACTATTTATCACTCCTTTTATCTTTCCATTTCTTCCTTATGCAGCTAGCTCAGATTCCATTGTCCATCATTATAATCACTCCCTCAGTCCCTGTTTACTTCCCCTCTGTTGTAATTGGCAGAACTTTATTAAATCCAGCCATTCTCCTCATCTGTCTGTTACTTGACTTCTCAGCAGTGTTCAACATAAGTGTCTATGCCCTCTTTATTGAAAGGTATTTTTTTTCTTGGCGTCATGGTTTGATACTCTACTGGTCTTTCTCCACTTTCAGAGTGCTACTATTCAGTCTTTTTTTAAGGCTCTTTCTTCTCTATTGCATCTACAAGTTGAAGTGTCTTGATCCCTTTCTTCTCTGCACTCTTCCAAGTTAATCATATCCACATTCGTACTTTGAAATAATAACCACTCCTAAATTTATGTCCCCGGGACCAATGTCTAATTGTCAATTGACAATCTCTCCACTCAAAGTCATAAATGTAATTGCTTATTTGTCATCTCTTCCCTTCCAGCACCATATAACCCAAATAATAATCATTCAAAGTATAAGATACAACTATTCCCTAGGTCTTAAACAAAAACTTTCCTTCATTCCCATGGCCAATCTAACAGAAATCCTGTTGACTAAATCCCACAAACAAATCCTAAATCCGTCACTTTTTCTCCAACTCCACTACTATCAACCTAGTCAATATAATAGTCTCGTCTTGGTGTTTCCTCTTCTCTTCTTTGCTCGGTCCAAACCACTCTCCTTATGAAAATGAGAGTAATTATTTTAAAATGCAAATCAGATCATGCCTCTCCTGTGTTTAAAATCCTCCAGTGGCTTCCTACTACACGATGGATAAATATAAACTCCTTATCCTATGCTATGATGATCTCAACGATCTATCCCTGCCTCTCTTTCTGATTTCATCTACTACAATTTCCCACTCTTGTTCATTATTTTCCAGCCACACTGGCTTTCTCATCATTTGCTCACTAGCAGTGATTCTCAAGCTATTGCCCTTGTTCAGAATGTTTCTTCTGCAGCGTTTCATACGGCTGGAACTTTCTCAACATTCAGATCCCTGCTCAAATTTCCACTCTTCAGAAAGGCCTTCTCCAACCACCCAAACTAAAGCAGCTACTAAGCCTGTTTCATTTTCTTTATACCATTTATTCTAACTGATACTATGCTGTTTTGTGCATTTACTCTCCTTGTCTCCTCTCTGGAATTTTATGTCTATGAAAGTAAGGACCTTGTCTGTATTGTTCACTGCTCTCAGAACAGTGGCTGATATTTAAAAGGCATCCAAAACTATATGATCAATGAATAAGAGCAAGCTACATGCGGGAAATAGAATATGGTGTGATCCTTGAAGAAAGAATAAGATTTTAGAAAGCAGAGATATCCATTCTGGAAAAGTCTGGCAGTTTTTTATACAACTAAAAATTCACTTACCATATGTATTACTTTTCTACTTATGCTGTTAACAAAATACCACAAATTTACTGGCTAAAACAGCACAAATTTCGTATCTAAAGTTCTGGAGGTCAGAAGTAATAAATAGGTTTTATCAGCTAAAAGCAAGTTACCAGCAGGGCTGTGTCTCTGCTGAAAGCTCTCGGGGAATCCGTCCTTCCCTTTTCCAGCTTCTAGAGGCTGCCCTCATTCCTTGGCTCAGAGTCCCTTTTTCCATCCTCAAAGCCCACAGGACAGCATCTTCCAATGTCTCTGATTCTAACTCTCTTGACTCCCTCTCTAAGGACCCTTGTGATTACCTTGGGCTCATGCAGATCATCCAGGAAATTCTCCCCTCCTCAAGATCCTTAATTTCTTCACATTTACAAAGTCCTTTTTGCCATATAAAATAATATATTCACAGGTTCTAGAGATTAAGACATGGACATCTTTGAGGGGGGGGCATTAATTTGCTTACCACACCATACAACCCAATTGTGTTTACACTCTGGGTCAGTTATCCCAGAATTATAATCTTGAGCATTTATTCCAGAAAAATAAAAACCTATGTCCATGTAAAAACCTGTTCATGAATGTTCATAGCAGCTTTATTCATGTTAGCCAAAAATTGAAAACAACCCAAATGTCCTTCAATAAGTGTATGGTTAAACAAACTGTAGAATATCCATACCCTGAAATACTATATAACAAAAAAAAAAAAGAAAAAGAAAAAAACGACTATTTATACATGCAACAACTTGGATGAAATTCAAGGGAATCGTATGAATTATGCTGAGTGAAAAAAGCTAGTCTTACAAAGTTATGTAATGTGTGATTCCATTTATATAACGTACTTGAAATAAAGCTATAGGAATGAAAAAAACATCTGATTGCCAGATTAGGAATTGGGGGAAGGGGGAATTAGCATCTATACGGAT